AGACCAAACGCGATATCAGCACGTCTCCACACAGTAAACAAAACAAGCGTTTCCTAGCAACGACAACTGCACTAAACACTAATGAGACAATTAAATACACTTACGAGCTGCTTTTAACTTCCGCTGATAAAGACTGCTTCTCTCAAAGACTATTTCTTTACACTGTTTTCTGCTGGCGCTTGAACACACTTTCCTTATTTTCTCCGCAACAAATGACCAAGCAAGCGCAGACACTGACAAGATATGCGATACAGAACGAGACCAAACGCGATATCAGCACGTCTCCCTTCTTAAGCTCATTGGTGTGGTTTTTGTACCACAGTGAGGCATTTTTCTCTCTTTAATTTTCTTTAATTAATTGACTAATGACAGACAAATTCACTAATAGAATCCAAATCAAAGCTATATACCTGGTGATTATATCAGGGCAATATATGTCAGAGACAAAAACCATGAGGATCCCAATTAGTGTGACAGTATTAAACAAGATTTCAAAAGATCAATTAACACGTAATATTAATCAGTGAAAAACCAAAATGTATGTAACCTATGTAAAGTCATAAAACATATTGATGAATAACAGCATTTAGTGTAATTGAGCTCAGAGATGTTGACTTCATATTTTAATCTAATTTACAGGAGTGAGGCCTCGGTGCCATGCCAGAGAAATCCCATAGCACGGCCCATGACGTCCCAATGGGTGACGGTAAGACTCGACTCTCATGGTTATCATGAACATCTTTTAGATTAATATTTTTTGCTGTTAGATGATTAATGTGTTTTGTTAATTGTTGCTGTGAATACTAGAATATTCAATTCAGTCAAAAACATTTAACGTTTATTTTTTTTCAGTAACCACCTGTAGAGGTGTACAAGAGAGCTGGTTAGAAGGTTTCAAGTACCAAATAACTAGTAGACGTTGTAACACGATAAAACTGCTTTGTGAGAATGTGAGAATGAGGCCCACAGGAACGTCTCAACTGTGAAACTGCAAAGTCTATAGACTACAGGCTACAAAAACCATGTATCTATTGTTGTGTTTCTTAAGAAACATTTGATAATTTGTGCATGTACTGTTTACTTCACAATAGGGATGTGCAAAACTACATACACATTTGTCTAAATGACTGATTAACTTTGAGAAATTGGAGGTTCATTGTGTATATAAAAATGGCTAGACAGAGCACACCAGAATAAAACAGAACTCTGGGATCTCAGCATTTTTCAAAAACAGGTCTACTAACATAAACATGTCTTCATAAACATAAAACTGGCACAAGAACTGTGTGCAGGTATTTCAGCAACCTTCTATTGGGTGTCAAGTTTTTCTTCTTTTTTTTTTTTAGTAAAACGTCTGAGCTATGTTGAAGTCAGTGCAGTGACAAATACCAACCTGAAATTGTAATGCAAAAACAAGCTCATAGACAAATGAGAGCGAACCAGCTGCAGTGACACATGCTGAACTGAACTAAAGCTATTGGCCTCTCGAAGAACTGTCACTTTAAGAGCTGAACACGGTATTTACAGTATTTCTCACCCATCTTCTTTGGACACCTAGTCTCTTAAGCATGAACTGCTTTCTCAGAAGTATTATTTAATTTTATGAGGTCCAAAGTCCTCTTGCCTGTTCTTTGCAAAATAAATAAATAAAAAAGATTGTGAAAAAGTAAACATTTTTTGTAACTTATTTCAAAAAGTGAAACTTTCATATATTCTAGATTCCTTACATGTAAAGTAAAACATTTCAAAAGTTTTTTTTTTAGTTTTAATTTTGATGATTAGAGCTCATGAAAGTCAAAAATCCAGTATCTCAAAATATTAGAATATTTACATTTGAGTTTCATTAAATGACCATCCCTGAGCTTCACAAGGAGTGGACTGAAGCTGGAGTCAGTGCATCAAGAGTCACCACGCTCAGACGTCTTCAGGAAAAGGGCTGCCAAGCCACTTCTGAAACAGAAACAACGTCAGAAGCATCTTACCTGGGCTAAAGAGAAAAAGAACTAGACTGTTGCACAGTGGTCCAAAGTCCTCTTTTCAGATAAAAGTAAATGTTGCATTTCATTTGGAAATCAAGGTCTGGAGTCTGGAGGTAGACTGGAGAGGCACAGAATCCAAGCTGCTTGAAGTCCAGTGTGAAGTTTCCGAAGTCAGTAATGATTTGGGGTGCCGTGACGTCTGCTGGTGTTGGTATATTGTGTTTTATCAAGTTCAAAGTCAATGCAGCCGTCTGCCAGGAGATTTTGGAGCACTTTATGCTTCCATCTGCTGACAAGCTTTATTTGGTCAGCCAACATGCCTGACCTGAAGCCCGTATGGAATCTATGGGATATTTTCAAGACAAAGATGAGAAACAGTTGATCCAACAATACAGATGAGCTGAAGTCTCAGTAGTGCCTCAGCAGTGCCACAGGCAGATCGCTTCCATGCCACACCTCAGTGATGCTGGAGTTTGTGCTAAAGGAGCCCCGACCAAGTACTGACCTTTTTTTGATTGATCTTAGGAAATATTCTAATATTTTGAGATAATTGGATTTTTGACTTTCATGAGCTGTAAGCTCTAATCATCAAAATTAAAACAAAAAAACATGTTTTACTTTACATGTAATGAATCTAGAATATATGAAAGTTTCACTTTTTGACACAAGTTACAAAAAAATTAACTTTTTCACAATATTCAATTTTTTTGAGATGCACATGTATATATATGGTTTGTTGATGTGACATGGCATTTTCACAGTCCCACGAGATAAAAATGAATATAATTAATATTGTTGTTATTTAAAATGCAGTAAATCGTTAAACATTTCTTTGTCCTACATGGACCTGTTGTTATAAAAGCTGCAGTGTCGATTTATTTATTTTTTTGAGCCAAATCTAAAAATTGTCCTATGGTTTGACTGTCCCAAGCATGGTTCAGTGAATTACAACTTTTATAAATTAAAAAGAAAATGTTAATAAATATCTCTGGCATAATTGTACCAATTGTCTATTTTAGTAAATGGCAATCATTTTTTTCATCCATATATTTCCAATTCCAGAGGAAACTTTAATTAGTTGAAGGACTCAATTTATGGTCGTGTTACTGAAGCCCCCTGTGAAGCCCATGACGTGCACATGGTACATTTTTGCCTCAGAATTGTTCAAATATTTACCTTTTTTGGAACCACTACAAAAGTGTTATGTTTTGTTGTCCTTTGGTGCGACACCCCTAAATTATATTTTTTAATTAAAAACTGTGTTAAGCTACATAATCATGGAAAATTATGAAAATGTGTCTTGCTAACCGCTAATGACAAGTTGGCTCGGAATAGCAAGGTCATTAATTGACTCAAAAGGCTGAAATGTTCTTTGGTGTGACAGAAAATGTCCTCCGGTGTGACGCCTGTACTGTCACACCATAGGACAAAGATGTCACACCAGGTCTCTTTAAAAAGCATTTTAGTGGAAGAAAGAGGACATGGAAATATAGACAGAAAATTAACAGGGATCCACGCAGAAGGGAGGAGATCCTAAGAGAACGATGCAGAAAGTAAATACAATCAAAATGATGCCTTAAAAAGAGTAGCCATCTAGTTAAAAAAATGTAATTCACATCTTAATGAATACAGTTTGAATATCAATCATATTTAGCTGTGCCACACATGCAGCGGGGTGCTAGAAGAGTTTCAGTAACATACTGATTGACTAAGAGACTGAATTTTGTTGATGAAAATTATTTTGTTTTGTTTGAAAAACTTTCAAAATCAAAATTAAACTTTCTTTCTCCTTTGACATGTTCAAAATTAAATAGAAATACTTTTTTAACTATCATTTCTGTCCTTTAGTGTGACGTAATGTCCTATGGTGTGACACACATAAAAGAACCACAGATTTGTTTTTATCTCAAAATATCCTAAAACAAACAGTTGAGTATTGCAATAGGGGAGATATAAATACCACTCATCCTAAAATGGTATAATTTTCAGCAGATTTGAACTTTTTGAACCGTTTTGAGTTTTTTCAGCAGTTTTGAGTTTTGGACAATTTCAAGACAAACTTTTACAACAAGACAAACTTTGTCTTGAAATTGTCCAACAAGTCAT